GGCATCTTCTGGTCTCTTTTTCTCAGCTTCTGTCATTGCAGCAGAAACATCCTGAGAACTGTAACTTTTGTTTAAAGTTGCTGGTACAGTGCAGGCAAAGGAGAGCCAGAGGGTTTGCAGTTCTGCCTGTGCCCCACTGTGGGGTAGTTATACCACTTCCTGGTTTTACCAAAAAATAGAAGTTACTGTGTCATTTGCTGGGATGATAGCACTCGTTTTCTTTCCTCCCTCCTCCCTGCCTCTGTCCCTCTCTCCCTCCCTTCTTCTATCTCTTTCTTTCCCTCTTACTTTTTCCCTTTCCCTTCCCCTTCCTCTCCTCCTCCCTATGCAAGTACTCATTTGGTAGCTTTATCAAGCATTTACCATGCATTATGCACTGTGGATATAAAGATACATAAGACATGACCCATGATGATATTAGGCTTTTATTGTTTTTATTTTAGTTTCCAATTGAACTCTAGTATCCATGCAGACACTGGTGTTTATTAGATGTCTGGCATGTTGGCAGAGCGTTTTTACTTAATTCTATCATCCACCCAGAGGCAGGTGTTATTACCATTCCTATAGAACAGATCATTGAATTTAGGCTCTGAGAGTTTTTTAAATATCTAACCCAGAGGCATTCATTTCCTATGAAGAGGAGTCAGGAATTTATCCTGGTTTTTCTGATCCAAGTTCAGCACTTTTTTCCATTGTGCCTGCATATTGACCGTGAAGGACTACAACCATACCTTCGTGCTTTCACCTTTTGCATACGGCACTGCACATGTCGTGTATATAATAAATACTTGTCTGCAATCAGGTACAAGTTGTATTAAAATGGTCTGAATAATGCATTCTTTCAGATATTTGTATTTGGTGGCATTGCTCAGAATTCTGACATGCACATGCACTTCTCATATACAGGAAACTTGTAAACATTTTACTGCTTATGTGTAGAAAGCAAGGTGGACAGCAAGGAGTTGACCCTCAGATAGGTCAGCAGACATGTAAACATCAATAAGGGCTTGTCTGTGTTCTGAAAACATGCCTACTGCAATTGGAGCTGGTTACAGAAGACACACAGGAAGCAAAAATCCTCAGTGCCCAAATGATAGTGAAAATCACTCTTGAATTAATAATTTTTCATGATTTAAAAAATTTTTTTGAAAGCACTATAAAGTTGAAATATCTTTTGTCTTGCTCCCCAGTCCATCTCCTCCCATCCCTATTCTGGTAAATACCATCAAACTGGTCTGGATTCCAATCCACTATTTATACATCTATATGAACACATGTTTTTATAAACAATTTATACTATTGTTTTGGGCATTTGTTATAAAATATACATAATGGTGCCATACTGCTTGTATCATTCTGCCGCTTGCTTTTTTTTTTTTTTCAGGAATCACCGTGTTTTTGAGCTCTCCATGTTGAAATATAAAAATTTACTCCATTCTTTTTAGTAGTTATATGGCATTTTGTCATATGAATAAAATAATTTCTTATACTTTCTCTTGTACTTGCTGATGAAGATTAATATTGCTACAAATGATGCTGCAATAGACATGCTCACACAAGATTCTAGTCCTCATACTATGTGTTCAAGCTCTTCTAAGGTATTCACTTAGAAGTGGAATGGCTGTGTGATATATTAGCTGCATGTTTAATTTTGACATATATTGACAAATTACGCTCTGAAAAGATCATACCAATTTACACTTTCACTAGAAATGCATTTGCTTACCTGCTTATCCATACTTTTTTTCAATACTAGATATCGTCAGACTTAAATCTTTGCTAACCTGATAGACAAGCAAAAGTATTTCATCTTGTATTTCCCCAATTAACTGTTGTAATCTAACATCTTTTCATGTTTATTGGTTGTTCAGGTTTTTTTGTGTGTGTGTGTGTGAATTGCCTGGTCATGTGCTTTGCCAATATTTTTTCCAATTGGATTAATTGTGGGGTTTTTTCCCTTGCTAATTTATAAGAGAAATCCATTCTGGACATGAATTTTTTAACTGTTATTTGACTGTTGCAAATATATTTTTATTTAACCATTGTCAAGTTTATTGTTTATTAATTTTTTCTTTAGAGAGGGTGTAAAAGGTCAGTTCCAAATATGTACAGGGCTTTATTCTTTTTAATTCAATGCCAAATGGCATACATAGTCTCTGCAATTGAATGAACAGTTGTAAATAGCTTCTGCAGATCTAAGCAAAAACTTCCATACAAAGGCCTTCAAAGTTCTTCCTCAGACCTGGAGAGTAGCCTCCTCTTAGCATCTTGGGGTTAGACAGCGACAAACATTCTATACATAGGTAGACAAAACAAGAGAAATAGACTTGACTTTACAAACCAGTAGCTGAGCAGGATCTACTCTTCTCACAACAGCCTCAAAGTAATTTGAAAGTAGTTTCATTAAGTGAAATTTATCTTTTAGTGATCATTATATAGGCATCTCAGATTTAAAGTTTTAACTACATGGAGTCATTCTATTTCCTCCTCTTACTAGGAGTAGATTTCAATTATATAATTATGCTTAAAAAGGTCTAAGGAGTTTGTTCTCTTATGCCTTCATCCTGATGGGATCACAGTTTGCAATGACTGGTTGAGAGCTGAGGAAACACAAATATGAGGCAAAAACTTGCATATCTGTATATAAATATTTACAAACATACCAGACTATAAACCCTGTGAGGTGAGGGCCTGTGTTTACCATATTTACAATGGTTATATCCTCAGAATTTGTCTCAATGGATAATCCTAGGTCATGGGAATGTGCTGAACATTCTCAATCCACAGCTAACAGCTATTTATTGAAACCCAATTCTGTGTTAGACATTCTCTATTCTATGTGCTTCATGTAATCAAAGTGACCAAGACAGACAAAGTCCTGCCCTCATGAAACTTCCATTCAAGAGGCAGGAAATACTATAATGCCAGGGAGACAGAAGCAACAATGAAGAGAAATGACATCGTTAAATGGGATCCAAGGTTGTGTGTGTGTGTGTGTGTTGGGGGCGGGGGGGGGGTACGGGACACGTGTTTCTATCTTAGAGGATGTGGTCCGAGAAGCTTCCTGCAGAACAGTCGTAGTGATTATCAACATTTACTACGTGGAGATATATAAAACCACAGTGTCAGGGCTCCAAAAACAATCACTTTCATTTGAGCATATAAATTATGCCTCTTTGTATTTTTATTTGGGGCAGTTTATATGTCTGGGGGGGGATGTAACTAAAGTATTGATTTAGATTAGAAGGAGTTAATGAATTTGTAAAAATGCTCCCTTTTCTCTGAGGGAATAATTTACGTGCTGAGAGAACAGCTGGCTCCCTACCGCTTGGTGGTGGGTTTTGACTGAACTGTTCATTGTTTTAAGTATTTTGTGTATTTTTGACTACCTATCTCTCCAGGAACCCACCTGACTAGCATAGGTCTTTATGCTGGTTGAATGTTCCCATCCTGCAGACAACTATAAACTGTGGCTCAGGCAAGGATTTAACAAAAAAATTATTGAGAAGCTTGTAAAGTGCAGCACTAAGTTTATGTATAGAAACTGCCATTCGCACAAACGAAACATTCAGACAACTAAAATTCTCTAGATATTAACTTAATGCAGACTTCCTCTTGCTTCGTTTATTTTTTAAAATCCGTTTCAAGTTCCTAACAGTATCTAGTAGGTATTCAGTATGTTTCCTGCTGCCTCCCCCTAACGCCTAAAGAGAAAAAATTATGCTGTTTTCTGGTTTTGTTTTGTTTTCCTAGCCAAGTACTTAAATCACGGATGTTTCCTAAGTATCTTTTGATGGGTTTCATTGTTTCGTTTATTTTGCTTTGGGCGGTACAGACACCTTCAAATTTCCTTCTATAACAAATCTTTTTCAGCGTCTTCACTTGTCTGGCTGATGGAGCCGTTCTGCAGACCTTGCATACCGTTGACTTTTGCACGGGCTTTAACTTCGACACAGAACTTACGGCCTCTTTAAGGAACCAGTTTTCAAACTAAGAGAACAAATGAAAGCGTTCGCTCTTCTTTCGAAAAACCCTTCTACACTTGGTATGTTCTCCGCTATTCATCGGATCCTTACTAATGAATACAGAATGTGACATCGGTTGTTCAAGTACATAGGTCTTTTTTCTTAAATTTCTGGGAAGTTATTTCCTTATCTAACGTTTTCTTTTTCTGATTTATTCTTTAATATGCTACAGAAAAACCCTCTCGCTTAGCGACTGTTCCCTTTCTTTTTCAGATCACTTAGGAATGGAAACCTTTACTTTTGAAGGTCCTTTTACTTTTATTTTCCCCCGGTTACTCCCCTCTGTCCACTCACAGCCGAGGCCGCCGGCATCTGAGCTGAAAGGACCCGTGGCAGGCGAGGAGAGGAGGGTGTCCTCTTGGCGACAGGCTCCTGCTGGCGGCCGGCAAGCCCGCCGGGGTTAGCGCGGGCGCCGGGGTCAGCGCCCTCGAAGTTGGGGGCCTCGGGCCGAGCCGCGCTGGAGCCGAGGCGACCGCTCAGGCAGAGCGTCCCGCAGTCCCGTTCCCTCCAGGAGGAAAGAACCTTAACGTGTCGCGATCCCACGGGGATCTTGCTCTTCCCTGTGCGGTCTCCGCTACTGAGCGCGGGGCTACAGCAGGCGAAGCAGGGCGGGCGAGAGGAAAAGCCCAGACCCGGGCCGGAGGAGGAACGAGGGGCCAGGAGCCGGGGGGATTTCCTCCCGCGCTTCCCTCTCCATCGGGAGCGGAAAATGTGATTTGCTGTGCATTCCAGGCGCGGTTCCCTGGGGTGACCTCTCCCAGCCCGCCCGGGCGGGGGGAGCAGACAAAGAGGCGAGGCGGGCGAAGAGTGGACCCCGCAGGGAAGCAGGAGGGGTGCAGGGGGCGGGGGCAGTACCGGGAAAGGGGGCGGATGCGGGTCCGGCGGCGGCGGCGGCGCCTGGCCAATGGAGAGGCGCGGCCACGGGCGCCGCGCTCGGCCGCTTGCATTTAAACGGGAGACGGCGCGGTGCCTGGCACTCGGTGCGTCCTCTGCGGACCGGGCGACCCAGTACTCGGCGACAGCGTCACTCTCGGCCCCACTGACCCCGCGCCGAGCCCGGGCGGCTCGGGCCGCGGCTGCACTCAGCGCCACGCGTGGAGAGCGCAAGCCCGAAGACCCGCCGCACTGACAGGTGAGCGCAGAGACGCCCAGCAGCGGTGTACGGGTGTGTGGCGGTCTGACTGTATGTGTGTGTGCGCGCGCGCGAACGTGGGGACCCTCACACGAACCCCAGGTCCCGCTCAGGTCAGACGCGCGGCAGCCCTCCGTGTGCGCAGGCCGAGGCCCTGTGTTTCCGTGAGGGTGAACCACGAGTAAGCATCGTGGAGTCCTTGACGAGGTCGTGGGTGCGGTGACCTCGCTGCGTTAGGTCTGCAGGGACATGTAGGGAAAGTGTGTCAAGAGCAGGCGGGATGACCCCGCATCCCACTTCCACCTCCTGGCGCTCGCGGCAGCAGCGTCTGCCAGATGCGCCCGCACGGCGAGTGCGCGGAGTCGGGGCGGCCGGGGCGTGAGAGCAGCGCGGCAGGGAGCAGGAGCAGCGGGGACTTGCGGCTCGGCCGCAGACAACTCGGCAAGTTGCTCTGAGAGGGTCCCATAGAGTTGAGGCACTGCGCTGGGGCTGGGGGCATCTTGCGGCGTCCGTCGGAGTCTGGCGAGTGATTCTGCTGGAGGCTCGGAGAATCCGCGATGTGTGCATTTACCCATCCTCGAGGTGAGATGGAGACTGGCAAGAGCGGAGCCTCGGGTTCAGCCGCTGCGCAAACCCGAGTGGCGGGTAAGCGGACAGCTGGAGCGCGGGGTCCAGCGAGCCCGCGGTGCTCACACGGCGCACAGCACACACACTCAGGTGCTTCCTGCGCACTCGCGGGCGCTCGGTTCTCTCCCAGCCTCTCCCGGCCCCACGCGCGCCTCGGCCGAACAGCTGAAGTTCAGGCGCCAGGCGGCGACCACGGCCGGTTGCGACTTCCGCGAGTACCCCTTTATCTGTGTCCTAAAGGCCCCATCTACGCCTCGCTGCGTCCCGCTAGCGACCGACGGCGCGGGACTGGCGGCGGGAGGCTGGTCTGCGGCTCCAACGCGCTGGTGGTCCCCAGTCTTCGCCCGCCGCCTGGCTCACCCCACTCCGCTGGTCCCTCTGCAGCTCTTGGAGCGAGGCCCGGGAGGAGGGGGACGTCGGGGCCATAGCTACTTGTAGACTATAGGCTTGGAAAGAGCAGACTCGCCACCACTCTCGCTTGGCATTAACTTAGGATCCTAGCTCCACCTTGGGGGCGCCCCAGCTTGGCTTTGGTGAAGGTCCCCAGGCGAGGCTGGGGGCGGGCGCGAGATGACGTGCTGCGTACCCCTTCCCGCGCGCCCAGAGCTGTCCCAAATGATGTCCCCGTCGAACCCGGCTGCCGCCTTCCTCTCCTCGACCGACTCCGAATCCCGGCTCTTTTAGACAGAAATACAGCCTCGACGTTGGGCTAAAATCTCCTCTTAAATGGTCCGAGGGCAGAGAGGCGACCATCCGTAGGTAATTGGATCTCCTGATAAAAGAGCACATCCGAGCGGTGTGTGCGTCTGTTTACGTTCCCCTTCGAGATGGTGCCAGGACACGAACTGATTAAAACAATCTATTGTGTTAAGTGGGTCGCCAGGGTTTTACGCTGTCTCAGGAACCCCAGAGTAGTGGCTTCCTTCTGGCTGTACACACAAGTTAAATAAATAGCGTAGAAGAGGTTAAGATAACCCCGATCCCAGGGTGAGGAGTTTTCTTTCACCCCTAGGGCTTCCCCCCTCCCCTTTTCTTTCTTTTTTCTTTTCTTTCTTTCTTTCTTTTTTTTTTTGGACCTTTCTTTCTTTTTTTTTTTTTTTGGACGGGGGGGGGGCG